TTCCCAGGAGAAGCCATTGAATGCACAAGGGTCACCAAAACACCATCCCAGGGACAGCAGCTGATGGCACAGGAACATCTGAGGCCTTGCAGGGGCTTTCTGCCGAGCCTCTCAGAGGAAGTAAAAGCACAGGGCCGAAAGCGGCTGGCCACTTGGGTTGGTTAGTAAACGTTCACCATGCTGTTCCTGACACCCCTGATCCCTGACCACCTTCTTTCTTCATTTAGCTTCTGACAGGCAGAACCTGATTGCCAACGAGCAGGTCTACCAGGTGAGTGTGGGCACACGTGGGTGTGTTGCGTGGGCTTCAGCACCTCTGTGTGGTGCGTGGCTGCATGTGGGACTGGCATGGCCATGACGGCACAGCTGCTGGGGGATACTTGGTGCCATAAGGTACAGAGCCACGTTGGAGATTGCTCTCTGCTGGGGCATTCACAGCCGCTTGCCCCTGAGTGACCTTGAGGATGGGGCAAGCTCAGCTACCCCGTGCCTTTTAATCACTTGGGGTGGTTAAGCTCTGTGCGCGGAGAGGGAAAGCTTGCCAAAAGCTTGGCAAAGAGAGAGTGGGCCAGCTTCCCCTCTACCCTCCTTCCAGGGCTGGACAGACAAAGTTGTAGCTCATCTCACCTTTTTTTTCTCCTAGCCCCTTGGCGAGCGGGACGATGGACAGTATAGCCGGCTGGCACCTGCCAAGGCCCGCAAGTGAAGCGGGAGGCACTGGGGCCTGCAACTCTGTCACACCGTGAGTGATACTACAGCAAAGCCACTGCCAGTGCCCAAGAGCACCAGTACCCTGCCCTGGCACTGCCTTCATAAGCTCCGTGCTGGCGGAAGACAGTGCGGATTTTTGCCTAGAGACCCCTCCAGCTCCTTGCCAGATGGGCTGCTTGTAGCACTCTGCTCTTTTCATGACCTCTTGTGCTTCTGTATTCCTCTCATTAAAGATGAGCCTATCCTATAGCCTGCTGCTCCATCGGTTGTGTTGTTGGGGAAGGTGTGTGCTGGATGCAGTCGGCCTGGATCCCTGCAGAGCCGTAAGGCTTCTGCCTGTTCCGGTAGGATACTGCTCTGCCAGTGCAGGCACGTGCCCATGGCTATCCACCTTTCTCTGCCAGGATCCAAATGGGTCTGTTGCTGAAGCTGGGAATGAGGGACCTTGTGGAGGGAGAGGGCTGCCACCCCCAACACTAGCAGAGGCTTTGTCTCATTTATTTCCCCTTCCAGAATAGGGAGTGGGGGACGCACAGCAGGGTCTGTGTCACCCCTGCAGAGTGCCTGCATGCCTCAGTCCCCTGGACAGAGCTGGAGGGCTGGCAGGAGGGAGGATTGGAGGACGTTTCCTCTGCACATACAGGGCCTGGCATCTAATTGAAGTCTCCAAACTGCAGAGGCTTGCCAGGTCCTTGGTACTCAGGCAGCCTGCAAGTTGCCTCAGCGCTTAGGGGAGTGAAGCATGAGCAAAGCAGCAAGCTGTGCTGGCTCTGTAGAAGAGCTAGCAGGGACTGGGCCCAAAGAGGAAATGGAAACAGCAGAGGGGATGAAAACTGCAGTAGAGACCATGCAAAACACGTGGCAGCAGAGTTGGCCAGGCAATGAAGGCCAGAGGCAGTCCACACTCCGCACCTCCAGTGTTCTTGGGAGGCTCCCCCACCCTGCTCTGCTTCTGCAGCCCGCTCGCCTTTGTGACCAGGCTGGGTATCTCTCGTTGGGCGTTCGGCAGCCCCACTTTCAGGCTCGCTAGCCGTCCCAGTGTGCTGAGTACAGCATGCAGTTGAGCAAACTTTCAGAGTCTTTCCCAGCTCAACCACCTCTCCAGCTACTGAGCAGCACTGGGTCTCCCCACACCAACCCATATCCTCCTGGCGAGATCCTCACTCCCCAGCTCTGAGCAGAAACAGCTAATGTGGTCTGACTATGGCCAAAACGGGAGGCAGATAACAGGCAAGTTCGGCTAGCAGTTAAAAACCTCAGAAACCAGGTCACCCTCCATGTGCCAGTTGCACACACCTGCAGGTTGTGTTTTCCTGCTTTTCTAAGAACCTGGGTGACAGGTTTTAGAGAGCGCCAGGCTGTGACTTGACTTGTGACTCAGTGGTATAAAGTAAGCACCAAAAGAGTTAAAAAAGTAAAAACTGGCTGCAAATCTGTGACGTGTATGACAGCAAGCTACACGCAGGCTGCGCAAAGCTGTGGTGCACCCCACATGCCCTTACTGGAACCGGCGCGTGATCAGCCTTCTTGCGGACAGTGGACAAGAAAGGGATGTTTTCCTATGGTGTCGGCTCTTTACGTTTTGCTCTTCACTGGAGCAGAATAACATCTTAGTGGCTTTTCTGCTCTAGCCTGCTCCAGTGAAGGGTGAGCCTGGCGGGGCCGTTGCAGGTAGAATATGGCGATGCCCACCTTTGGACTGCAAAGCCATTTGGGTAGGCCCTTACAAAACAAGTGGTCAGCAGGCTGCCTAGTTCTTAGCGCTTTCATCACCATCTCAAAGCCCTGAGCAAGGGTGGCTGACCACACCCAAAGAGCAGGAGAAACCCAAAGCAGGGTGGGTGCGTATGCTCTGCATCAAAGAGACAGCAGGGGCAACGTTTACAGCTCGCCTGTTTGTGGGAGGCTCCCCAGCACCTCACCCTTGGCAGGACAAAGAAACATTCTGTAGTGCAGCTAAGCACAGCAGCAGAGAGTTGTTGTCACTGCTTGGGCCCTGATCCCCACTGCGATAAGGAGAGTGTGGGATGGCACTGGTTGGGGCAAACACTAGGCAAATGTGCAGCCCCGTAGGTGGTGGCAGAAGCACTGGGGTGTAGCTTGAAGCAAAATTTAGACCTTGTACACCCAGAGTGGTCCGAGCTTCTCACATCCCATTTGTAGTAATGGGCTACGTAGCTGGGCTGAGCAAGGGTCCCTGGAGCAGTGATGTTTTGCAGAAGCTGAGAACATGGCCTAGAGTGGGTTTAGAGCTGCTGGGGGTTAGTGCTCTTTGTATCTTGCGATCTCCCTCCTAGATGTTTAGTGCCTTGTATGGTAAACCCAGCTGTGCTGCCTTTGAAACCACATCCTGTAAGGGTAAGCACAGCAATCCGAGGCACGAAACTTTGCTGGGTGTTCATCTCCCCATGCTGAAACTCAAGGATTAAACCACCCCCAGCCCCCATCGCTGCTGCTGTTTCCTCTCTTCAGAGCTGTTGCTCTGCAGAGCAACAGAAATGCAGCAAACTGAGCCAGTGTCAGACCAGAAATGTTCTCAGCCATCACAGAATCTCTTGGGCCTTTCTCCTTAAGTCACCACCTGTCCCACTGTTGCTGCTTTGAAAACCACAGCTTTTAAAATCAAGCAGATTTAAAATCTGTATGTTGAGTGCATGGGACCTCAGCTATTTCACTTGCCCCCAGACAGAGCCCCAGCTCCTGTTGCCCCCTGCCCTGCTCTCAGGCCCCGCTCCCCAAGCACAGCAGTGCGATTTTGCATGTGTAGTCATCCTCCCCACCCTGGCACAGTCTGCTCCCAAACCCCTTGTAGGCTGCTGCAAGGTGAGTCAACACAGACCCACAGAAGCTCTCACTGTCTCAGACTATTCCCGACCTGGGAACTCCCCTTTTTCTTTAACAGAGACAAAACCATGGGGGACATCTTGTCCAATGCATACCTGGGAGTGCTGTCTCCAGTTTTATTAATATATTACAGTTTTTAAATGTACAGAAAAAGTTAAAACAGATCTTGACCAAGGGCAAAGCAGCCCACCGTCTTTTTGACAGAACCCAGGTGGAGCTCACGTTACAGAGCTGAAATGCAGGGAGAACGGGCAGCAGCAAGGGACAGATCACAAGAATCTCTAAGAGCATTACCTCTGATAAATGAAATTCTGACAGCAAATGTACTTGTATGCCCCTTAAGGTATAAGACACTCAAAGAAATGTGTTTATCCTAAACTACACCACACAATATCAGTAAAAATGGAGTCCATGAAGTCTCTGGGATGAGAAGGACAGCCTAGCAAAAGGGTTCGATGCTTTCTTAGATTTTGTAGGTCCTGGGCTTTATCTCTGTGGCCCCAGCACATGAATTTCAATTCCAGTGAACAAGCTGTTTCAGAGCAGAGTCCTAGTCCTGGGGCTGAGCCAAAGGGTCTCGGTTCCAATCTGGGAAACCTGAAAACCCCTGTTGTGCTGTCTCAGTACGACTGCAAAGCTGATACTAATTGCTAAGTGAGGGTTCAAATCATACCTGAATTCCCCACTATTTCATAGTAACAAAGATCTAACGCTCAACCAAGCACTAAATTTCCTGACAGGAGGCTTTCAGATGGCTTGGGAAGGCACCAAATCCCCACATGATGCTACGAGGATGCTCTGCCAAAGGTCTGAACCAGAAAGGTCACTGGATACAAAGTGGTACTTGCTTCCTACAGAAGAAGGGCTGGGGGATGGACGGGTTGGTCTGCATGTACCGGTAGAAGTGGTTCTCATTTTTTTTAAGGCAAACTGTTCTTTTTGAGTTAAATATTTTCATTCAAAGCAGTGTCTTTTCTTTATAATATACTGACAGCCTTTGTTCCTTTTGTTACAATCCTGGGCAGCAATGAACATGAGAGCAGGATGAGGTCAGAGGCCAGTCACTCTGAGACGGACCCACTAGCTGCCCAGGGCAGCATGGGGAGCAAGTGGAGGCACCCAGGGCAGAAATCAAGTGGGAGGGAAAAGCAGAGCACACAACTGGTGCAGAGAGAGAAGCGTGAGGGGAAAGGAGGCCAGGAACCACAAGTGAGGCTGCAGTCCTTTAATGAGAAGGAAAACTTCTCTTGCCAATGTGCTCGTTTGTTTCTTTTCCCTGACATCAAACGGGAGGGAGAGTGGAGGCAGCAGGGTGCGTGTCCGGTGCAGCCGCCGGGCGCACCCACAGCGCCGGGGCATCCGCAGGGCTGCGGAGAGCAGTACCAAGCCGGGTGGCAGCGCTCAGCCCTCTGCTGCAGTGTTCCAGCCCATCAGCCCTGGGGATTTCAGAAGCCCCTCGATTCCAGGCCTGCATACACCTCCCGCTGGCCTTTCCGGATGGGCTGTGGGAACAGCAGAGATGTTAGTTTGGGAATCCTCAGCACACAGTTCTGCTCCCACCTCCCTGTATCAGCACCGGGGAAGGGGCTCCACCCTCAACACCTTTTGCCTCCACTCCTTGGAAAGCTTGGAGGTTAAGTGGGTCCTTCTTCAAAGGAGCAAGAAGGAAAAATGCTACAGATTCCCAGCTCTGGCTATCCCTCCCCAACAAGCAGAGAGAGAGATGGAAAAAACACAAGTTCTTCATACCTCATAGTCCGGGTTTGGAACAGGAGGAGGACGCTGCACCTTCTGACCTGAACAGAGGCAAAGAGAGGTCACCCTCAGTGATGATTCATATAACACAGCACAAGGGAGTTTCATGGAGATGATCCCAGCGTCACGCATGCCACAGGTCAACAGTTATGGCTTAATTGTGAGCTTAGAGCTTTTAAAGACCCAACTGCTGCAGGCAGGAGGCCTCACCATCCTTCAGGAAGAAATCAGGTTTCTTTTAGGAAGGGTAAATTTCTCGCTTTCCTGGCTGTGAACAGATACTTGGAAACAAGAAGGCCCTCTAAGCACAGGCGCAGGCTACAGCTCCACAATACAGATACCGCATCTGTACTCCTCTGCCTCAGCAAGCTGCACAGGCACGGGCACATCGTCACGTTTCTGTTGAACCCAGCATGCAACGTGCACAGTAAGCGCGCAGTGCGGAATTCAGAGCTGCCAAAAGCCAGGAATCCAAACTTATAGTTTTAATAACACCACAATTTCTAATCATGTCTTCTGTGTGTGGGATTAATTCCTGGTCTTTGATGGCCTGAGACAGCAGCTGAGCGGGCCAGGGCTGGGCTGGGCTTGCAGCAACGCTCACACGCTGAGCACCTGCCGTGCAGTTTGCTTCAGCGCAGAGACAATGCCGCTGTGCCGCAGCCTGTGGAATGGGCTCCCATGGGCAGGGCACCGGCCCTGCAAGAAGGCAGCCCGGAGCAACAGCTGTGGCAAGCGGGAGCGTTGTCAGGCAAAGTCTTGGAGGCTTAGGGGGAAACAGAGGTGCTTCATCACTCAGGGGCAAGGGCTCGATTCAGTGCTGAGCGGGCATCGTGGTGAGCAGAGGAGTCCAGAACAGCTCTTACCTCGTGGCCGACTGCCAGCACCAGCGCTCGATCTCCCCTTCCTGTCTTTGCTGAAGTAGTAGACCAGGATCAGCACCCCAAGGGTGATGAGAAGGTCCGCAGTGATGATCCCTGTCACTGCCAAGGCATCCAGCTCCTCGCAGTTTGCGCACACTGCCGGGAGAGACGACGGTGCTCAGAGAGGGTTGCCCTTCCCCTCCAGCACGGAGAGCCCGCGCCTCGCTCGCCTGCGCAGTGCCGTGGAAAAGGCACGGCTCTGGGGGGGAAGGAGATGAGCAAACTGAAATGGGGGGGACAGGGCAGGCTGTTCCATCTGCCCCACCATCACCATCTGCCAGTGGACACGCCGCAGGGAGCGATGTGTGCAGCTTCCCTTGCTGCCCGCCGCTGGGTGCCTGGCCTGAGTCAGGGCTGCGGAACAGCTCTGAGAACTTCGCCCCCTCTGCCTGTGCTGGAGCCTTAGTCCTGAACACAGAGCAGCTGTGCCAACTTCCAATGGCTGAGAGGCTTAAATGGCTCTGCAGGGTGGGGGTGAACTGCCCCGGGTTGGGGGGTCACGGAAAGTTGTGTGCTCCGCGTGGGAGCTTTCCGCTCTGCACGGTGAGAAACGCCTCCAGCCTTTGTGGCAGACATTGCTCTTGCCTTGTAGCGTGGGAGAAGCTGTGTTAAAAAACATCACGCACTGTGTACGTGGGAACGTTGACATGCAGCCAGCTCGAGGACAGTGGAAGGGAAAGGTGCAGAGAACAGGGAGATTCCCTGTGCCAGAAAAGGGCTCTGGGACTCTCCTACTGCCCGCGCAGAGTGGGAAGGGCCTCAGCAGGATTGTGTTCGCCCGGCCCAGCAGTGCTGAAAGTAAGGTTCCAGCTCCTAATATCTGTCACTGAAATGTGTAGACTTCATCCTTAGCCTGCAGACAGAGTGCTTTTTCACTCACCTCTGGCATTCAGGTACATTTCGTGCTTCTTGTCACTGGACGAACAGCTCACGTTGATGGGAGAGCTGTCGTGGTTCTCTATAACGTGCTTCCTCTCGGTGGTGGGCACTGAGGCCCCAGCTAACTCCCAGGCTATGCTGCCTTCAGTCAAGGGACATGTGATTGTCACTGTGGTTCCAGAAATCTCAACCAGGAATTCGTTGTTGGAAGCTGGGCCAACGAGAAGGGAAACCAGCATTACAACCAGCTTCTGGGCGGGCTTCCCCACCCACCCTTCGTCCCACTGTGCCAGTTTGCTCTGCAAAGTCTTTGATTTCATGGTGTAACGTAAGTTCCTCGTGTACGTGCCTTCTGCGTGCATGTTATCCTTTAGTTTTTTATACCGATTCTTTGCAACACTAACCAGTATCAAAACACCATCGCAGAGCGCTCAACTTTGTGTCAGAGAGCCCGGCCGCCTGCACACGTCGTTCTGTTTATCCATATGCTTGCTGCTCTCTGCAAAGGGCCAACCCTGCTTGGAGACCACTAACAGTAATCGGGGGCAACTCGTTACAGCTGGTTTTTCTGATGGGTGATGACAGTAGCAACTAACAGGAAGTTTTTTCCTCCTAAAATGCTGCTTGAACTCAGCTATTTTTTGCTGCCTTCACCTGTGAGGCATCTGCAGTCTTTCTATCATGCTAAATAGGTAAGAATGCTGGTAAAATACACTTACCCTCCTCTGCTTCTGAGTCATCTGCAAAGGAGAGAATAGTAAGTGTTAATGAATCAGCCTGCTGTTACCTTACTGCTTGTTGCTGTTGGAAAATGCCCAGCCCTGCTTGGGGATCACTAGCAATAACTAGGGACAACTCATGACAGCCATTTTTTCCAATCAGTGAGATCAGTAACAATTAATGATCGGGGAGTTTTTCCTATCTTATGATATTTGCAAAATTCAAACATTTCTATGTGACTTTTAGTCCTCGCTTGTGAGGCACAGTTGGTCTTTTTATCATATGAACTCGTTAATAATGCTGGTAAAATACACTTACCCTGCTGAGCTGCAGTGCCAACTACAAAAGAAAGAATAGTACATGGTAAGTAATTCAGCTACTAATATCATACGCTTTTGCTACTTCAAGGATATGCTTTCTGAACTCAGCGGCTTGAAAAAGATGTTTATACTCCTGTATTTGTGCTAAAGGCACTAGAAGGGTTCTGTTAGCTGAGACAGGATGTTGTTTCGAAATGAAGTCTTTTCCTTCAGAAGCCATTTTTAACATGAACTAACGCAGAATGGAAATTTGAATAATTTTCCAACCCAGTTTAGAAAAAGGGTTATTGCAAGCTGTACCCCCAACAATTCTGCTTTATTAGCATGGACCAAAGATTGCTGGAAAATCATGCCTGGTTTCTGTAGTAAGAACCACTGTCCTCTGCAAGAGCGTACTCGCTGGAGGATTGGACCCTGGCACTTGATTTAACTCTATAAAACAGTTCATCTATGTGATTTTTCTCTCTTGGTAGGAAACAAGTAGCTCCACTGAAGTCTCTGGAGTCGGAGTATTAAAGAAACAGTTTTTAGGAGGTCTGAATCACATTTGCGATTTGCTTTAAAGATATTTGTTGGTAGAAAGTAACATAAGTAAATAAAGGAATGACCTGTATTCATGCGTTCAGCGCTGTTGTCTCATCCCAGGTAAAGCTTGCTTTATAATAGGAGTTACTTGTAACAAAATTGTAGATTTGAAATTCCACAGGCATAGGACTTGGCTGGAGACAAGGTGATCTGATGCTCTTTATGTGAGATGAATTTAAATTTGAGAAAAGAACAGGCCACTGCTAAAGCAAACATTTTCAGTCTTCTCAAAGAATAGCAGCTGGTATTTGCAGCACATTGGCAGAGCAGCTGTAGCCTTATTGTAGTATCTTTTATCTTTCAAACTTATATCTCGTAGTTACCAACTTCTTTATAGTCTTTACAGATACTCTGTGCTGCATCCTAAACAAGCTTCCGAACTGCTGGTCAATTCAAACTGGTAACATGGAAATTGCTGCCACTCCCATGACAGCACAGTGAATGGAACTGAAGTTATTTACCCATGATCAGAACACAGTTTAAGAGGAGTGCACGAATAAAGCATAAAAACACAATTAAAACCGCAGGACCTTATAGCTCACACTGCTGCAGAAAGCGGTGCATCAAGCTCCAACTCTGCTGCGTGGAGACCGGGTGCCTTAGTGAGCCAGCTAGTAAGGGAAAATTCACTAGGGACCTTAGGTTCTTTTCTGCAGCCTGAGAGGGCTGGATTCCCGTTTCCCTGTCCCTGCACTCTGAAGGGAATTCTCGCTCTGGAGAGCAGCAGCTCCCCAGGCACTGCGCATGCTGGTTGCAGAAAACGTGGCCGCAGGTGCTTTGCCAAAGCAGTTGCACACCCCTGTGCTTCCTCCTCTGGGCAGCCACCCTTCTGTCCCCGGGGGCTTCTGGCCACCTGTACTCACCCCCGCAGAGCAGGAGTCCCAGGAGGGGCAAGGACCGCTCTAGCCTCATCCTTGTGTTCCTCCTCCTCTTGTTCTTCAGTACCGCATCAGGTTGGCGTCACCGAGGCTGGCTGTGAGGGAAGAAAAACGTGTCGGCTTCTTAAGTTCTTGCTTACAAGAAAGAGGCCCAAGATTTTTTCCCAGAATTGTGTACAGCAACGAACTGAGCAACGCTGGGGAGACTCACTGTTTCCAGTGAAATCTGCAGGCAGCCAAGACAGACGGAACACGTATGGTAAAATAAGCCCATGTCAGGAAGTGCAGAGGCTCAAAAGGTCTTCACGGAACGTCATTGACAGCAAAGGGTGACGGCTCTGCACCGGCCCAGTTCAAGTCTCGGGAGACCTGTTGTAACTGCCCTAGGAGCAGCAGGAGAGATAAACGAGCCTGGATTAGATTTGCCATTAGGACCTTCCTAATAACTTTTTGAAGCGAGTGTTTCTGAAGTTCAAACTACTGCAAGCAACTTCACATAGTGAGGGAATAAACAGAAGAACCAGAAATGCTACAAGGAGCTCAGCGCCTAGAAACTCTGTACGGCCAGCAGAATGAGCCTCTAAGTGCCAGGCCGTAAATCATGGGGGTTTTAATTGCTGAGGACGCAATCTAGAGTCTACTTGGTGGTGGTTGTTCTCTAACACAACCCATTTAATCCTGCTGCCTCTTCAAGAGTGGCATTTGCCAGCTCCTCACCCAGGCTTGCCTCCGCACGCGTCCTGACAGTGCGGAAAGCAGCAGCTGAGGGTGCCAGCCCCTCCTGCCAGCCTCCGCCCTGAAGCGAACGCTCTGCTCCCGACAGATACTCCATGGCGTGCTCTCCTGTTAGGAGGGAATCTGCTCGCCTGTGTTGCTGCTTCTGTTCGGTTTCAGTTCGAGACTGCCAAAGCCGTTCTACGTTTTCGTGCAGAGTTCGTAC